TAACATTTTATTCCGCGCTTGCCATGTACCGGGTGTCAAAAATGTTTTAGCTGACGCTTTATCTTGATTGCAGGTTTCGAAGTTTAAACAGCTAGCTCCGGTGGGTGTACAATCGTCACCAACGGTCATACCAGCCCAACTACTCCCGTACAACTGGCCGCTCTAACAACTAAATTACTTCAATCTAGTTTGCAGCCATCATCGGTCCCTACTTATCGCCGGGCCTGGAAACTATATAGCCAATTTTCAAGTGCAGTTTTTTACTCAGCTTTAGTCTCACTGCCTATATCGCCCGCCAACTTAAGCCTATTTATTTCGTACATGTTTCAACGCAATTATGCGGCCTCGACGGCCAACACGTACATTTCTGCACTGGGATATTGTCATCGTCTTGCAGGGGTGAACGACCCAACTAAAGTTTTTTGGATTGTCGAAATGTTGAAAGGCTATGGTAAGCTTGGGTCATGCATTGATACACGCTTGCCCATAACTCTCCCTATCCTTCGCACCGTCTTACAGCAAACTCCAACTATATGTTCGAGTGAGTATCGCGGGTACTTGTTCAAAGCCATGTGCACGACCGCATTTTTTGCCTTTTTGCGAGTTGGCAAAAATCACTTGTTGTCCACGGTCACCAGACGTACTGCAATTGAGGCAGGTCGTTCAACTTGTGGATAATGCGGGCAACGTCAGCGGTTTAAAAATAACATTTTTGAATTTTAAGCATTCTTATAACCAAGCTAACGTCTCGCTCACTCTTCAACGACGTTCAGACGTATGCCCAGTGCAGAGCTTACTAGACTATTTTGCACATCGTGGTTTAGCTGATGGCCCTCTTTTTCAAACTCGTGACGGGCATGCAATTTCACGCAAAATGTTCACAGACCATTTAGCTATTATATTTCGCACGTGCGGTCTCGATGCAAACAGGTACAAAGGACATAGTTTTCGCATCGGTGCGGCTACATTCGCTGCCGAATGCGGTTTTTCCGATGCCCAAATACGACTAATGGGCCGTTGGGAATCCGACGCTTTCCGCAAGTATATTCGTGCTCCTAGTTTGTGACTTAAATCAGACACTTCGAATATACAGGCCGGGCTTTTTGTAGGGATTGATTGTGGCTGCCTGTTGATAAACCCGTTTAGTAATTAGTACACTTTGTCAAGTCGACGCAAGGGCAAGACTTGATATAATATAGGAATGTGCGTGTTAAGATACTAGAAATGTACGTGTCACTTAATCACTGTTTTACGTTCTCTGTGAGGCTAACGCATGGGCAAGGCTTCTACACAACCGTTCGCTTTAGCAGGTTGGCGGTCCCCTGGCAGTTTAACGCATGGGCACAAACTGTTGGCGGTCGCTTACCATGTTTTTGCTTAATAATGACAGTAATAATCCACGCACTGATTTCGCTTTGGAGTTGTTTTTATAGGTTTTAACCTCACTGTGTCTGCTGATACCTTGTAACGATTGGATGAGGGTATGCCTCCTTTACCCAAGGAGACTCGTGGCGTATTTATTACCCCACCTTTTCTGTGCGAACTTTTAATAATTAACTTCGATTTATAATTTGTTATGTTAATAATTATCTCATTGTTTTAAAAAATTAATAAATCGGCATGTGCGTTGCGCAAGACGCACATTGCCATAATTATTCCAGTTGCTGTCTGACTTGGTCAATTGCGCAATGTTCGCGCACAGAAAACAGAGCTAATCGTTGCAGGATATCTTGCTGACATAGTGTTAAGAAAAGGAAGCAATAAAGGAATTACTGGCATACCAATAAAGATTTTATTGCTTCCTGCATCTAGTTTTAGAGATAGGGAGCTATTGTAATGGAACACGTGGGTATTAGCCCCGATAATTTGTAGTCACATGAATGTAATGCGCAGGAAGCGGATAGGAGTGGTGATATAATCTACAGCAGTATGTGCATCAGTTCATTCTACTCTTCAATCTGGTCGCGCAAGGTCAACTCTCTGGCTGAAGTCAATTGATATCCCACCCTCCTCCCCGTTACTTGACGCAATATTATTACATATGTAAGTTAGTTTAGTTATTAGATTAATTTCTAAATGGTGGGCGTATTTATTACCCCACCTTTTCTGTGCGAACTTTTAATAATTAACTTCGGTTTATAATTTGTTATGTTAATAATTATCTCATTGTTTTAAAAAATTAATAAATCGGCATGTGCGTTGCGCAAGACGCACATTGCCATAATTATTCCAGTTGCTGTCTGACTTGGTCAATTGTGCAATGTTCGCGCACAGAAAACAGAGCTAATCGTTGCAGGATATCTTGCTGACATAGTGTTAAGAAAAGGAAGCGATAAACAAAGAGCTATCCTTCTGAGTGTCTGTGGCAGCAAGGCATGCAGATTGTTATGAGACATATTACAGCCCAAGAAACCAGCAGAAACTGATATCAGGGTAATTGTTGAAGGATTAAAGAAACATTATAACCCAAAGCCAAGCACGATTGTTTAACATTTTAAATTTCACAGAACCAGATCAATGAATTGCATTGCATCTTCGAGTTTGGTATGAGTTCAGAAACTTTCAAATTCAGTGGTATTAGCTTCTGTTCCAGTATTTGTTTTAATTGATCTGCTGTTAAATATTCTGGCATTCGTAAATCACGATAACATTTTACACACAAAAAATACTATAAAAAAATTTTAAAACCCAATAATGTTGACTACAATATTACAATTTCACAAGAACAACAAATTTCATGCCTGCCATGTTTTCTGATGCATGTGCAGTAATCATGTGTTCACAATACTTGTAAAAATTAGGACTTCATATCATACATGTATGTTTATATGCCAAACTGTGTATACACGCATGGTTTCAGCAATCTTTGGCAGGCCCATCCATCATAGTTGTTTTAACCCTTTAAGTGGCAATGGACCCTACTTTATTATTTTACTGTGTGCAATGCCAGACTATTTTACTATCTATCTGGCCATGCACCCTGTTAACTTTTTAAGTGGCAATGCACTCTACTTTATTATTTTACTCTGTCTAATGCCAGGATGATATTACTCTTCCGTGCTGCCACTGAATGGGTTAAAGGGCCTGCCAAAGATTGATCAAAACCATGCGCGCACACTGCACATGAATGTGAAAATGGCCCATTGTCAGTTAACTCTTTCTCTACACGCCCTGTTAGCATAATCACTGGTGATTTACGACTTCACAGATTTCATATCTTTGGTTTGGTAAATGCTATGTATATGAAAATACTACCATTTGATTCAGTGAAACAATATCTTCCAATTTCTATCAATAGTTTAGTTGAATATAGTTTTAGTCAAATTGTATAGCTATTTTGACCTTTTGAGAGGTCAAGCGGTGTCATATTTCATTATATTAATCAATTGTCTCGAACAATGTAAACTGTCTATACCTTTCACCGAACATAACTTCGGCCCCTTTGCAGATATTGTTTTTGCTATAGTCTTATTCGAACCAGAATCCAAAACAATATTTAAAAGCATTATTTTCAAATTTGCCAAAACATCGCGTGTTTACATCCTAGTGCTCGGAAAATGACGGAAATCTTCTAAAGGTCAAATTACACCTGCAGCGGGCTACAGGTACTCCTTATTGTCCAATTTTACATGCAGCACACATATGGGAGTAAAAATCTGGTTTTAACCAGATTTTTAAAAAAATTCAAAATAAACATCTCTACTTGCCGTATTCAAACGAAACTTTCTACATAAAGCTATTAAGGAATATTTTACTCGTATTAACTTGTGGCGAATTCTGAAGAGTTTAGAAGATATTCAAGTTTTTCTCCATATGAAATACAGAATGTTTGGCCGAGCGGCGAGTGAACATATGATTGTTTCAGTTTGTGTATTTGTTTTGACGGAATATTTTTAAGTTAAAACAATTGAATCAAAATGTCGCTTGTCGAGTTAATCTTTTTTGTTTCATGGACAGTTAGATACATTCTTATGGCCTTTCATTGGCTGCTTGCACACTAAAATGATGATAACAAATATTTAGATTTCTCAACATTAACCCATCATTGTACTACTGGTTTCAAGTATAAATGTTTCATAAGCATACTGCTTTATACGAACTGTTTCACACCTGGACTTGTTGGGGGAATGTCCACAAGTTGCATGCTATCTCTTTGCTTCCCCTTTTCAATTGCCTCTTCCTGTGACTGTTTGGTAAACATTGCTTGCTATAGCTAAGCATTGTATTCATGGGAACTGGTGTTTTTTCAATGAATTCATCAATTGCATCCTCAAGTTTTTTTGTTCCAATTGCTTCTACCATGGTCTGATATATTTCATCTACATAATCTATTATCAATTCAAAAAGTAGAAATTAGTTGCATGCTAGATGATTGTAGTTGGATTCAGACTGTGTAAGGGATGGAGGAAGGCACATTGGCACTAAATTGTAATCTATAACTTACCAAAGTTTTGCTAGCATGCTTGCCACCTGGAATTTCCAAGGGAGGATAATTCCGGTCTGCTAAACTGCAGACATAATTATGTTTTGTGACGTATGACCACTACATGCATAACTAAATAAATTTCTGTACGCATTAGCTCAAAAGTATTTCCAGTCATAAATATATTCATGGCGGACGCACATTCTGTTTCATATTCAGAAGCCAACATTTGTTGTATTTTGTGTTTCCGTGTGATTAAACTTAAAGAAGCCATTCAGCAATTGCCATTCAAAGTATTCCATTCGAAAGAGAGTAGGCTTGATTTCTCAAGAAAAAACCCATTGTATCAGAGCTCAGCAATCTATTTCAAAAAGGGAAACTTACAAGAGGGCAAGAACGAACAGCGGATGAGCTCAACCAGTGAAATGAGCGAGTTTGACAAATGTAAGAACAGTTGATACTCCGAAATATTTGTACGAGTTTTTAAAGAACACCGACCAGTCATAACATATGTGAATGTCAAAGTAGCATGGCCTTGCAAAACAGTGGAGAAAAGCTTGCATCCAGACTTAGAGTCATTGGGGAAAATGGTAGTTTGTGGCACATTCAAGCAAATTGCAAATGCAGCGTGGAGAAATAAACATATCAAAAACCAAGCAGAAAATGCTTGACTTTTCGTTTCAATGAGAGAATGAAGAGGGTGGAAAAGAGAGCCCCACTATTTTATTCTGTCTTGATAGCTGGTGGCTGCAACAATAAGAAAACAAAGAAGTGCTCATGGATTCCTGCAGTTGGAATGGCTGCATCTGTTCAAAAGATCACCCTACATGAAGCAGTGCAGTTAATGTTGGGTATATTCTTATACCATTCAAACTGGGTAGTAAGTCTATTCACTTCTTTTATTTTCACCTACCATACTGTACACAGATTGTATGTTAGCCAGTGGAAGGGAAGCAGTTTTTGGAAAGATTTGTCACTACAACAGGAAGAAGAAATTCAAACAAAAGCATTGGAGAAGTTTCCTAAAGATTATCAGTACACCATTTGAGAATTTGTTTCAGCTGGTCATTCGCAGTTCAAGTTATGTGTTGCGACTGAAAACATGAGAATTTGGATCGATGGCTTTTGCAATTTCAAGAAATCAATGATATTAGCCTGAATGTGAAGGTAAAGAAGAAACAGACTAAAGGATACATCGTCCAAAATTATTATAGATGTCAACACAACACTAGGGTTTGCAGCCCAACGAAAGACCCCCAGCGACGATTGAAGATTGATCCAACAGCAAGAGCGAAGAATACTAATTGTCCATTTCAACTTGTCATCAAAATAGATTCATGTAATTCCTGCAGCATTGACCTGGCCTGGGTGCACAACCACTCAACTGATAATCTTGAAGCATATAACTTCAAGGACTTGTGCATGGAAGTAATTGAAAAGATAAAGAAATTGTATGAAGCTTGTCACACTCCTTCAACAGCAAGGCAACAGTATCTTGAAGACCTCTGGCATGTAAAGAAAGCTGATAGGTCAACAATGCCACATGAAGGGACTTCCTTTATATTTATGGGCAGTTTGGGAAAGAAACATTTGGTGGAAAGCATGATGGGATGTTTGACAAACTTGTTGAAACCCTGGAACAATATGAGGCTTGTAACCCAAAAGCAAGCATGGCAAAGCTCCAACAACACTGTGTGTGCACAAAAGGAAAACTTTCAAATTGTGCTCCTCAGTGCTTGATGTTGCATTGACAAATACAAGCTCGCCAGTTTGTTTTATGTGCCTGTTGACTCATTTCATCAAGGGTGTTACTATGGCCACAAGTAGTGGAATATTCTCACCCCCAAAAAGTTGGTAATCTATGTACTTCTTTGATAACTTCTAACATGGTTAATAGACCTAGGAACAAAGGAAAGTCTAGCCCACAAAACGAGGAACTTCAAGCATTACTGCAGAATATGAAATCTGCAGAGTCGAACAGTTTCATATCAGCCCATACAAGAGGTGGCCTGGTCACACCATGTAATGATTTTGTAGGAATCTTAGAGGAAGCTGAAGTCCTTTTTAGAAACGAAGTTAGCAAATCCAAACTGGTTCTAAGGAATATACCTACTAACAAGATATGCTTTTCTACGCTGGAGTCCCCCACAGTAAAATCGTTGTGGGATAACATTGTACTCACATCCGGGATAAATTCAGGTAGTTCCACTACAAAATTATGTTTAGAAAATGTTGTCAAACTTTATTTGGAAGTAAGATCTTGCTAAAGATTAAGTAATAAAATATAAGATCAGAGAAAAGGAAGTGAAAAAAAGGGCACTTAGAAAGGACATGAACTGTATGTAAATTGTGTAAATAGTATAAGAACCATGTATTAAATAAGAACTGTTATTAGGGAAATACTGAACCATGTTTTAATAAAGCTTTTTAACATATATCTTTTGCTATCCTGGATTTTACAAAATTGAAATACCGTCCTTTCGGTGGCGGAAATTCACTTTTTCCGGTGGGACGGCCAGAGCCACCTAAATTTCCGACAACCCCCCCCCCCACATTTGCACTCAAAACGACTGGTTTTTTTAGCCCTCTTTTAGGTGGGGTGGTCAGTGACCGCTTACACCACTTCGTCTTTTTACAACATCACATTGACTCACTTGCTGATATCCCAGTTAGAATTTGCATTTTATCTAAACAATATATCCAAGTATTGCTGATCAAACAATATATTGAAACTTACCATGTTAAAAAATTACCTAATTTGAACATAAATGACATTGTTGTAATGATTAGTAGTATGGCAGTTAATGTTCAAATTAAATATTTTTTGCCGACACAGCAATTTAATTTATTACACATATGTTAACAAGTATTTCTCTGATTGTGTATAAATATAGACATGCTGCAGCACTATTAATAAAGGTGTTTTTAGATTTTTACAAGTGAACCGTCATATAAAATGTTTATATGACAAAAATAGCTTTATATAGAGCCAGGATACTGACCACTTTGAAATAAAATCTTACCAGGGTCCAGGTCAATTTACTCACACTGTCATACTGCACCCTACTTTATTATTTTACTCTGTCTAATGCCAGATTATTTTACTCTGTCTATAAACACCAGACAATTTTACTTGTCAAGCGAAGAGTGCTGGTGCTTAATGGGTTAATCACACACAAGGTGTACTGTAACTGATGCACTGGAGGTGCCAGTCACAAAATTTCTTAAATGTTTCAGCAGTATCGTGGAGGTAACATATTGACCTCAGCCTGGCTGAATTTTTTATAATGAGCAAACAGAAAAGGTTTGCAGAGCTAACTGGTAAGCCATAATGTACAAAAGTTATTAGATATGCTTATATTCTGTTTTCAGTTCCTGTGATGAAATGGCTTGAGTTTTTAAATTGGGGAGTGCCATATATATTCTATATGGTTGATGAAACTTAGTAATTATAAATAGATAGATCATTTGTTAATTAGCATCATGTTTATTCAAATTCAAATCATTCTGAGCTTTCTACATTTCTTTAATGAAATCAGAATTACTGTGGTCACTTCTGTGAAAGACAAAGGAAAACTCAGGACAATTTTTTCAAAATTCAAATGCTTACACACATATCAACTTTCTATTTAGATATATGGATAATCACTCATTTTTCTTTCTTTTATGCACTGGTTCATGACCGACTTTGTAGCACTTCTCATTCCCATAATGACTGCCACATTACCACGTACAACTGGTGCAATATCTCTTTGTGCTGTGATAGTGAGGTCATTATAACCAAATTGCTGGGCTGTCGGGTTGTCTGACCATCATCCACCTTTTGCTCTTTGGTGCCCAAAATAGTCTTCAACTACATCCTGCATAAATCTCTCGCTCAGAACGTATTGAAATCCCTGAGCAAGCAAGAACTGAATTGCCTCAATATGGGAGTAGACAGAGATCTTGAGACCCTTGTAGGTCTGGGTGGAAAGAAACATTTTCTCTCTGTTGTTAGTGGAGTATTCACCATCTCTTGCCATTGTCGAATTTTTCCAACTATCCAGTACCCCAAGAACACATCTTTCAGCCAGCTGAATCGCTCGTCATCTTGGCAGGTGTATGGCTTGACAAATTGATTTCTTTTACTGACATATTCAGTCATTGACATCACATTTGTGCAGTCAAAGAAATCATTCATCATTTTGCAGAACTTCGCTGTTGCAAGGACATAAGCATATCCACATTCTTCCAGTGCTATAGCAACAGATGTACTTAAGACTTGGGTAGCCAACTTCACCTAATAAATAAAAAATCAATGCAATTAATTATTTGTTACCATACAGTATCTAAACAATGACAGTTTGTTGTTACTCATTTGCTTATTTTATTTTCCTGTTTCTAATTAGAGAGGAAATTAATAAAAAGAGTAACAACAAAAATGCCATATTAATATCCAAATACATTGCCCATCTGCTCTGTATTTACTAGAGTTCCTAAAAAATGAAAAGCATTTGTATGTGGATTAACTGTCTGTGTCATTGAATGTTTATTAGACAAGTACTGTATTATTGTGTACCTTCATCTTACTGTACAACGTAAAAACAATATGATCCAACCCTGGCTTGGGAAGAGTGTGGAGAGCAAACTGTTGCTCGCTGTAGTACAGATTTGCAATGTGCCTGAATAAAAGATACTTGCCATCATTCCACATGTAACGGCTACACGAACCAGACCCAGAATTGTATAAGCAGTTCCATGCAGTTTTTAACAAATGAGGGAAATCTGCAAAAAAGTAGATGAAGCGTGACATTGCAAAAAGATTTGGTGTCTTGTATACAATATCACACATCAGATCAGCTGCTAATTTGGCATGGAGGTGAAAGAACTTGTGGTTAGGAGAAGCACCATCATTTACTGCAGTGCACACCCATAGCTTCACCGATATCTCCAAAGTAGAAACCACTTTCCAGAAAATGGGCATTAACTGGAATGATGTGACATTTCCTGTAAAGAATGCCAAAGCATGACTGGCCAAGGTACCTTCTTGTTGAAGGTTGGCAAAATTGGTCATCGGATTCCCAAGATCAATCAATCCAACCAATCCCCAGAATACTTGTCAAAGACAAGATTTGATTGGATTTTAATTTCATCCATGATGACCACAACATATCTCTGGATATCATTGAAGTTAGCAGTTTTTCCTCGCAAATCTTCAACGTCTTCACTGTTGATTCCTGCCTTTGGTTTGAAATAGTTTTTGTAGTCCCTTAGAACTCTTTCGCTTGGTAAGATTAATGCACCACTATCTCTCAGCTCTCGATACGCTGATGGTGACTTTCCATGAAGGGACAAAGCGAATCTAATGATCTGAGGGTGATATCTCCTTCCCATTCTCTTGGCTTACAGAAGCTTCATTTGCTCTTGCCAGAAGAACTTCATATGTGGAGTATCTTCCAGATTTGCCCTGCCATTATTTTGAGAAGGTCTTTCTCCAGTGAATCCCTAACACACACTCCCTCGCCATCAATTTTTCTTTGCAACTTCTCCAGCTGATCTTCTAATGTCTTACATTTCAATCTCGTTTCAATAACAGTAGCACTTAATTTTTCAGGCCCACACACTCAGGGATGCCTTGCTTCTGGCTGGGGTTGATTATGCCCTTGACTTTTTCCTTTCTGCTCTCTTCAGCATACTTCTAGCACTTGAGCATGGGCGACAAGATTCATCTTCAGGGGTAGAAGTGTCCATAACTACTTGACAATCAACAGAACGATAGTTAACAGACACCTCAGAATGGGTTGGGATTAAACGTTTGGGGATTGAATGTCGGATAACTGTCCCTGGAAGGTGATGTTGGAGGTTGGGTCAAGGGCCACCGATTTTGTCAGATGATCTTCAGGCAATCCATCACACAAGCCAGAGTTCTCAACTAACGACAGAAGTTCCTTAACCCCCTCACCTCTAATTGAATGCTTTCTCTCAGCGTAAATGGTGTGATCCTCTGGCAGGGGGCAAATGGAATACCATAACGGTGAATTCCAATGCTGAATTTACACTAACAGTGTATTTGACAATACTGTGAACATCATCACACAACTTAAATTCTTACATTCTTCTCAGACTGCAACCGACCCAGCCTGGAAAGTTTGTAGTGTGTAAAATTTTATGCACTTTTGCGTGTAATTTATTTGCATGCGCGCAATTTCAGGGAACCCCTTAGCACATTTTATAAACCTTCCAGTCTAGTAATTGACTATGTTTGATAAAAATATACATTTACTTTAATATACTTGTAAAAATTCTGCTTCAAAACTGAGAAAAAGAGATACCTGACATTTAACAATAGTTGAAATTTTTCCAAACAAAAAGAAGGAAAAACAGCAGAAGAAAAAATTAAGTAAAAATTCCACTCCTTGACTTGGCGCCAAATTTCGATTATCAATGATGTGCCCGACTACCAATGTCCACGGAAAAATAATAAATTGCTGCGGCGTATGTGTTGTATAGTGTCGTACAGTGTGTGGTATAGTGTAATGTAGTGTGGTATAGTGTAGTGTAGTGTGGTATAGTGTAGTGTAGTGTGGTATAGTGTAGTGTAGTGTGGTATAGTGTAGTGTGGTGTAGTGTAGTATAGTGTGGTATAGTGTTGTGTAGTGTCGTACAGTGTCGTATAATATTGTATAGCGTTGTATAGTGTGTTGTATAGCATTGTATAGTGTGGTATAGTGTTGTAAAGTGTGGCTTTTAATATAATATGTTAATGTATTGTATATAGTTATGTGGAGTAGAAGTATATTGTAATAATGCATTAGGTTAATATTACATGAAGTTTTGTATATTGGTGCGCGAAACATGAGGATATAACCTATCAATTTGTAAGACAATGCTTTTATAAACACTTAAGGTGGCTCCCTGCAGTTAGTACAGTTTAAATACGATTTATATAGATCAGACTTCATCCTCGCGACCTGCACGCGGAATCGTTGTGTTTACTGTTCGGCAAAAATATTGAAACAAGCCGCTGGAAGTTTTTTTGCGTTTTTATCTACAAAGAAAGCTCCAGTTTTTCATTATAACCCTAATTTTTTTCTGAATTCGAACAGTACGTACGTTATTAACTAGTTTAACCTATCTTTTTGTTTGTTTTTACGTATTTACGTTCAGTATTGTCTTTCATATTGCTCAAAATTTCCAACATGTTGTTTTGCGAACTGTCAAACTGAAATGATACTGTCTTCAATTAACACTTGAACAGTAGTGAACTGTCACCGACACTTATGTAAGTTCTGTCAATCAATTCAATTCACAGGTATTGTTTTATCTATCAATAAACTTTTTGATATAGATTTAGACAAATATGATAGCGATAACAAATTTATTAAAGAACGACGTTTCGAAGTCATCTTGACCTCATTTTCAAGTTCAAATTATAACAGAAAACGATTAAATTAATATAAATAGCATTTACATAATTGCGCAAGCAAACTAATTCGTCATACATGACAGTTGCAATTTTAAACTTAATTAACATAATTAGGATAATTAAACATGTAAATTGATAACAAACAATTAAACAAACAAAACAACACTAGACGAACAATTATGCTAATATAGAATGTTAAAGTGCTACTGCAGTGAATTTTTAGACCCTCATTTTTTAGTGCAAAGTTGCTTTGCACTATTGTTATGAGGTTAAATTCAATTCAGTGACCGATCAATGGATCGATGCATCGATCTATGGATCGATCTATAGAGTAAACAGAGCTTCGCGATGTTTGGCCAACTAATCGTTCATAGCTGTTTGTAGATTATAACAATCTATATTTATATTGATGATGGTACATGTTCTTACTTATTTATCCAACATTTAGAGAAGTTATAACCAAATTACTGTTGCATTTCAAGCACTTGTTATTATATGATATGCCCCCCTGGAACATAAATACACGTGCATAATACACGTGCTCTCATATGTTATTATTTTACAATGGCGGACATGGACGAGCGGTGACTATTGAGCGGCGGTGTGAAATGCTGAAATCATGTAGACTAGAGTGTATTACATCTGAGGTTGATAGTATTATAGCACAGTGGTTTAATATCTATGTCATATGAAAGACACAGAGCGATGTATACATGAATAAGTGCCAGTTGATAGTTTTGATATAAAATTATAAGTCATATAGCTTATTCTTGTATTATTATATCACGATATAACCCATGGAAAGGAGGGACCGCTCGCAGTCTATATTAGCTTATTCTTGTATTATATCGCGATAGAGCTAGGTTTACATGGCCCAATATTCAATAAATAGTAAACAATAAAATAAAATTGAAATTTTGCTCAAGAGGCAACATGCCGAGGTCGAGCGTATTTATATTGTAGCGGTGACACCGGCGAGAGCCAGTGTCCCAGTGAACTATAAATGTCTGTATTAATAATGATCTTATTGATCTAGTGTTTGTGGTGAAGTATATTATTTTTGATAGCAGAAATTTCTGTACTCAGTGTAATCTGTAGTCAGTAATGTCAGTTTGTATTGTTTCCGAGACGTTTTATATAATCAGTCATTCCAAGCTTTTGTCAAACTATTGGTATTTCGCACTTACTGTATGCAGTTATGGCATTTCATTGATAAACTGTAAAATATTATATTTAACCAAACACAGTACTAAAATGCGGTGCCCGCCCACAAATAAAACTTTCGGCGTTTCCGCCTACATGCACAAGTAAAATTATATTTAGAACGCTACACATTCTCCTGTCGGCCGCCAGTTGGTCCGAATATTAGGATCCAAACTGCGTTTTAAAGCCTTCAAAATATTATCAAAATGAGGAGAAAAGTGAGACGAATCCACTGGCATGCGGCCGAAAACGAGAAAACCAACAATTCCAAAGTTATCAAGGATCAAACGGACTGCATTTTTAATTAGTTTAATAATTTTGAGCGATTTGTAAACAATACAATTTCGCTTACTAAAACTGCACATTAAAACCTTCAAAATATAATATTTTGGGCTCAAACTACTAACAAAATAAAGGGAAAAGTGAGACGAATCCACTGGTATATGGCCGAAAAAGAGAAAACTAACAATACGAAAGTTATCAAGGTCAAATGTATTGCATTTTTAATTAGTTTAATAATTTTGAGTGATTTGTGAAACAATACAATTTCGCTTGTCTTTCAAAGGCCATAAATCGCTAGAATACTGTTGTTTAGTAATACATTTGACATGTATGAGTATAATTTCTTACGCTGATTCGAACTGTAGTATTTTTGTCCTTGTTTGATGCATAAAACCAGAGATAAAGCTTAGCAAGTAGTCGATCTTGAGAGTACAAGATTAATAACAATTAATAAATTCCGAGCACGTGCAAGAAATTTTTAGTAGGTGAGTAAGGAACGTATTGATGCGAACACATTAACAAACGGACAAACAAACTCGCAGGCAGAATATAAGGCGGTGCCAAAAATGGCACGGGCACCGCAATAGTGAGAAGTATTTAGACATCCGCGTTCGCCAAACCTAAAAACCTCTGGGCCAGGGTAGCCATAGACCCATAGTTCTGTTTGCATATTATTATTGTAAAGTCATTAGACAGCAACTTCTGGAGCACGTGGCCAGCACGCAGTCGATTTGAACTCGTCCTGTCAGCTGACAACAATTTCTTGCAACAAGCTGTTCATTTTTGTTTCATTTCGATTTTCAAAGGCGGTTTATTTTGTTTTGTATTAAAATGTACAACAAAAAATGGGTAGAAAATTGAATTAAAAGCAAAGAAAAAAGATCTGGACTAAAGCCACCACTCAAGGGATTAAGCTGTGGAAAATCATCCATGGGAAAACAACAAAATTTACTGTCGTGGCTTGTAATTTATAAAAACAAACGCCAAACAACTTCCTTATAGATGCATCAATCCTATCAGTTCATACATTAATCATTATGCGAATCAGCATATTAAAATCTTAATTATCATTTGTCATGTCAACTTTTCACTATCCTTGGGATCTCTGAGTTTAAAAAAAGTGCTTTCCTTCCTGACCTGTTTACCACAAACAGAATTGAAATTGGTCAATTCAAACCGATTTTATAGCCTTCCAAAGTGGCCATTTTTGGCACTTCCTGTGCGAACTTTTGATCGGCCATGTTGATGCCATGTGACGTCATAAGATGAACACAATTTCATCATGGCGTATTAAAATTATAGTAAAACCAACAAACGCGGAGATGAAGGCCGCGTTTCTGGCAGTTCTAACTTAGATTATTGCACGAATTCTGAACAGCCTGAATGAATACACATGCATCTATTTCCCAACAAAGAAACAGATCCACAGAGTGAAAGAAAGTTAGTGAATTTTATCCATAAACATTAACCGCGGGTTTCACGC